TCATTTTGCTCATAATCTAGCAGATTGAGAAGTTTCGTGGGAACAGTGCAAAAAGGTAAATCGTCAGATGGTAAATCATTAGGTTGCTTTATCCGCTATACTCTGTATTTGGAATGAGTCCAATTTGGGGGCAAAAGCTCATCACCCGAGAAACATTCTCACACCTAAGTGATGTGCCTACCAGGCAGCACATCGGACTCGTTATAATTACGCGCTCCCCAGATACCAAGACATTGCAAGCCCCACCCTCTTATCCAGTTTCGCTTCAGACGCTGAAACGGATTTCAAAGAAAGTTTCGAAGTCGAAGTTTAGCAGCAAAACTGCTCCACAAGACAAATTTCGGATGTGTAGGAGCTTTCGAGGTTGCTTTTTTCAGTAGTGAGATTTCTTTTTTGCAAAGTCAAGGTCTGTGGCGACTTGAGGCTTGTGGTATAGCCTAATGTGTACAGGGCGTATGGCAGGCCCTTTTTAGTACAATAAGAAAGTGGTTCAGTGGTTATGTTTTTATCAGGATATTGACAAGGTGCTCGGGAGAGCGCAAAACGAAGAGTGAGGGGGTACGCGCCCCGCCCTTAATGCAAGAAAGGGGGCCGCCATCGGCAGGGGTTCTGGCGTGGCCAGAACATGTGGTGGCTGTAGGCTTTATTGTAGCCTTAGGCGAATGGGTGGCGCCTGTAGTGGAGTATGGTGGCTCCTGATGTGTTATTAGAACACGTAAGCTGTTAGAGCTTTATTGAACAGACGACATGCACCCATTCGTGCAGTAATAGAATGCTCCATATAATGGGCGTGACAAGGTAGTATACATGCATCTGGGCTTTGGAGGTACTCAATCACAGCAGGTCATGCTTATGGCATGACCTGTACGGTACTTAGCAGTGAGTAAAGTGATACGGCAAAGAAGGGTGCCACATTGTCGGCACAAGGTCCAGCATTGATAACGCTTGACCAAGATCAAAATTCGGATTTAGAGATTTTGGAAATTTTTTCTTTCAAACATTACCGACTAGCTGCCTTGGCGCACTACTCCACTATCAGGGACCCTAATATCAAAACCAAGAAGCATTTTCAGATTTGGTTAATGGGGTTATTTGACATGCTGATTACAAAGCAATCTTTCAACATTTTGGAAAGGCTTTGGGATACCGGGGTAGTGCGCAAAAGCGGTTACTGACGGCTAGCGGCGGCTGCCGGCACGGTATGAAGGCACCCTGAATTTTGTCTTTGCAACAAATAAATCTAACTACTGAAGAGGACAACCTTGAAAGCCCCTACGAAATTTGTTCTTGATCGGAGCAATTCCGCTGCTGAACTTCGATTTTGAAACTTTCTCTGAAGTCTCGGTTTCAGCATCTGTAGCAACACTGGATGAGGGAGGTTCTTGCAATGCCTTATAATTCGAAGAGCTTGTAATTACAGTCAGTCCGAATGTGTCTGATATTGACACGCGCTCTCTTTCACAAAAGGGCCGGTGTCGTTGCGTTTTGAATTCTAAATGGGGTGGATGAGTTGGAACCAAAATATTATTATGTAGTAAAATCTGTGTGCAGTACAGATTTTTATAAAAATATGAAAATTTTTTGTGAACTGGATTTTGCTATTTTCATGTGGCACTAGGAGTGGCATATGCCACTTTAATTTGGAAACGGTCGGGCACGCTCTTTACCCACAAGAGTTTCTTATATTTTTAGACTTTTTTCCCAATCCCCCGCTACCCACATACACATCAAGTAGAAGCGGGTAGAGAATGTTAGGTCGCCGATGGGCTTCATCTCAATAGTAAAGGCTTTTGGTTTGATACAAATGTCCGCGAGGGACCTCCGCTTTTGGGGATTTTATTCCACTGCCCAATCGGAACTATTTCGTCAACGCGTTAATATTTTTTCCACTTTCCAGCAGGAGCAAATTTCAGAAAAAAGCTTGCCAACCTTCGACCAAATATCTCCACAATGTCTGCGCTATATCCCTTCCAGCTCTGATCCGTTTATACATCGAATGCAAGTCATATCGTTACATTGCGTTGTAAACGAGGCAGTTTAATCTCAATCAATGGGAAGAAATCGGCCTTTTGAGACGCGCGAGCAAGATCTTCTTTTCGCGCGTCGATCCTGTGACAACCTATTGAGGAAATGCGTATGTGCGTATGAGCGTGTATTTACGGTATACTCTTTGCTTTTTCCGCGACTTTCACTTTGACATTTTCACCCGTGTGGGATCTGATTGCAGCTAATTTTTTCGTTTTAGGCTTCGTTGATTCTTTGCAGATTGACTTGACCATCAGCAAATAGATACGATTAACTGCATGTTACTTGCCTGCTTATCCAAACTGTGCCTGAGCCGGTACGCGATATTTGACAATGGAGTATTGTCCTGCAATCGCGCATCTTTCATTAGAGACACTGCTATAAGTGAAAGAATGTGCAGAGTGCGATCAATTTGATTCTTTTGTCTAAACGCTATTATTTATGTCTCACAAACATCATTTGCATGTACTTACCATGTAAACGCTAGTAAAAGTGCAGCTTCCATTAATGTAGCTATGCATAACTTTTGCATCAAATTGTGGATATTATCACCGCAGAATGCTGCATTCATTTTGGAAGGTTCCGCGTTTGAGGAACAAGGAGATGAGGTCGGTACCTTACAGGAAGATACGACGCCTTCAGCGAAACGTTAAATTGTCTCCAGAGATTTGTTTAAGTATTCCTTTTTATGCTAATGCAATAAAAAGTAAAAATTGCACACATCGCTTGGGACAATCTCTGCAATTGCAGGTATCAAATCCATTCTCAAAAACCTAAATCATCCCGCAGATCTGCGACGATAACGCCCCAACTCGCAAAAGCAAAAAACACTGTCTGCGTGAACGTTATTAACCCTCATAAAGAATGTTAGTTGCATTCTGTTTAGGAGATAGAATCGCTTTGGGCAACAAGGAAAATATGATAAGCATTGGGCGATTCACCATGTTATACTAGTTGCAAGATTTATTTCGGAATTCGAAGTCATGGCGGCTTCTATCCTCCAGGTAAATGCGAGTGTGGATGTCCCAGTATGCGCAGTTTTCCGCTGAATAACCGTCTAATTATATCAATCTTTACTGAGGAAATGCGCTCCAAGCTGAAAAACGGCACTCTAACAATGCCTTCTTTGCAGTATTCATCAAAAAGAATGTTCTGTTCTCCTTGCAAGTCGCGTAACACTCTCAACTACAAATATATATATACACACATAACCTTTGTACATTCTGTGAATGTTTTAATCTCTGTACACTTAGAATGCGCTTACAATGAGCTGCAAACAGGTGGGTCAAGCCAAATCACGTCGCGACTGGAATCGCGTGAATATTCCCGCAACGAAATTGGTTTCAAGTTGGTTATGTTAATAAAACAGGTTGGGGGCATTTTCTAAATATCTGTTTTGATGGATAGCCACTATAATGACCCGAACGATTGCCACGCGGCTTGTATATCGAGATTAATACCTCAAACTCAAACTTGGGTAATTAATCGTCTTTACTTCAGGAATATATCATAATTGAACCGATAAACATAGAACTGAAACTACATAACAATTAGCTGGCAGTACCAAAGTTATAATGACGCATACCAAACAAAAATATGTGTTCAATTCTAAGCAAAATGAGTGGCGACGATACTCGTTAGTCTTATCCTTCACAATACTGTATTAATACTTTCTTTTAGTTTCTCTACTAACTTGAAAAAAACTCGATACGAAAGAATGCGATCCTATACATATATCTGCTTGTGATATGTTACAAGGAGATATGAGAAAGTCTTAAACCTCAAAAACAATACTTGCATGATGCGAGCAGTGATGAAGTAGTCTTGCTGCGGTCGACGATTCCTCGAAGTTATTTCGCATACCATCTTTCGATGTTGGGAAACTGACGAGAGCAAAGCATTCTTTTTGAAATGAACATAACCACGAAACAAGAGTCTAGCTCACTGGTTACTTGTAAATTGTGGATCAATCAAATGTGTGTATCAAATGTATGTATCAAATTATCACGTGCTTTCATCGATTCTACCAAATTATTGAATTTTAGCAGAGAAGATGGGAGTTGGCAGGGGATGGGGGGGAGGGGGGGAAGGAAGAGGGAAGGAAGAGTGTTCTTTGTTCATAACAAAAATAATTACTGTCTTAGGAACCTGTCATTCACTCATTGAATTTATTGATATTCCGTCAACTTTAAACTGGGGAGTTTTTTTTTAATAAATCGCGTAAGTGCAAGTATAAATAATAAGGTCAAACTGAAAATGCCGATATGTGTGAAGAATTCAAATCCTAGTCTTGATGCTGAACTGACTCTTCTAAGGTGAACTCGTAAATTGTCAGAAGCTGAAGATTTATTTATTTATTTATTTATTTATTTATTTATTTATTTATGCATACAACGATGCACCAAACGTAAATTGCCTAGAAAATGTTGATATTTATTCAACCGTATGAAGACACCGAATATGTGACTCACCGCAATATGCAATAACAAGTAATACTATTTTTGAGTGTTAATCTACCTGAATCATATTATGTGAAGTCAACAAGGCAGTAAATAAGTCTTACATAACGAAGCTACTGCAATTCAGTCCAACGTTTTCGTCTGCTTCAAGGAAAAGAAACTAATTTCCGTGGGAACATAATGAATTCCTTTTTTTGTTGCTTGTGAAATTTGTGTACTTTTTACTTCTCAAAAGGCTTTGATTGTTGCTAGACTTTGAAGCTTCTCAAGTCAAAAAACGTATGCCTGCCGGCGATTTGCTTTCAGCAGTGTTGACTTTGATTATGAAACAGTCAAGGATTCTTGAACATGTGTACCACTCCCAGACACCAATGCCAGGTGCACAAGATATGGAACAAAATTCGGCTGCAAGCAGACAGAAATGTAAGCGATTGCTCTTACGAGGTCATGAGCTCCAAAACTAGACGAAACTTTGGGACTGAACTGAGCAGTATAAACGACGTAGCAATAAAAATTCTACCCTTCTTTCATATCCATCTTCTCGAGTTTATTATGAAAAGTGTTCATCGCACTGTTCGTCTCGTCTTGCTCTATTAAATGAGAAATAATACATATGTGAAGACGTCGTGAAAATGTTAGGAAGTGCAAACTTACGGGTTAATAGCTCTATTTGTTTGTATTGTCGACGTATTTTTGCCTTGAGGGCACAATTCTCGTCTCTTGACGCTTCCAGTTCCATAAGAGTGGAACGGTATTGAGCTTCAATAGTTCCACCCAACGATTCCTGAATTCTTTTGTATATGCATTGAAGGGTCAGGAAAAGTCTTAATAGTTTTAATCAAAAGTTCATGACAGCTACTGTGGTTCAATTTGAGTAATGTGTTTACAGCTTTCAGGAAGATTCTTATTGAAATTTATTTGCTACCTGTGATTGCACACTTGTTTCCAGCTCTCGAATAGTGTTGTGAGCACGATCTAGCTGAACTTGTACTCGAGCAAGTTCTTCTCTAAGTTGTTCTCTCTCAGTCTCACTCATCCCACGTTTGGTCTCACGTCGCGTACAGTCTGCCTGCAGAGCTGCCAATTTGTCGGACGTTCGTTTCCTGAAAGTCGTCGCAATCTCGGAAAACGGAAAATTTAACAACACAAACTCACCTTTCATTGAGAATGTCATTCTTCGCTTCCTTCACTGCTTCTTCGTGCTTTCGCTTCCAACTGTCCGCATCCGACTGGGCTCTTTTCAGTCTCTCTGCCAAACCATCGGCTGCTGACTCAGCTGCTTCGAGCTGCCGGCGAAGGTCTTCTGAGATAGCTACAGCATTGTGATGCTGTCTAATGAGAGACTCCTTTTCCTGGAACGAAACAGCAGTGATCTTTGGAATTATTAGAATTTTACCCCTTAGGAGACCTACAATTGAGCTGACATATCCACTTTAGCCTCTTTTGTCTGATGATATTAAGGGCGAGAAGGAACTGCTGGTAAAAACTTTTACTCTTGCTTGTGTAAAATAAGCTTGATATTCATGTGGTAAATCGTATCTACAAAACCGCTCGATGACTGTGAAAGCTGGACAGTCTTTTTCCAAAAAATACGAATGTTCGAGTGGGGTTCCCCAACTTGGGGTACTTTCTCCGTTCCTGTTTCTCATTTTTATATTGAAATTGCCTGCTTTTCTAAATTCGAATGGAGTGAATGTACAGATTTATGCAGATGATATCAAACTATATGCATGCTATAATGAGGAAAACCATTACGCTGTACACACTGCACTTCAATCGTCTATTGAAAGGTTGAGCCTATGGGCATCGAGCAATGATCTTTCTCTAAATCCTCGTATGTGTTCCTTTCTGCATCTTGGGAAACTTGAGCTAATATGTTATGAAGTAAATGGTGTCTCACTGACTGTTTGTTCGTCGGTCAGAGATTTGGGAGTCTTAATTGACTCGAAGCTCAATTTCTCAAAACGTGTTGACTATGCAGTACAAAAGGCATTGTCTTCCATGTTTGCAATTTTTCGTAATATTCGTTCCTCTGATCAGCTTATTCTTACCAGATTGTATAAAACGTATGCAATCCCCATCTTGAGTATTGCTCTCAAGTGTGGAATCCCTCATGCAGAAAGGAAATTCTGAAACTTGAGAAGTGCAGCGCATCTTTACGAGGATGGTTTTCTATCGTAAATTTTGAAGTACTAAGTACTAGTAAAAAGATGTGCCATCTTATGATGAAAGACTGAAAATGATGAGTTTGAAACCACTCAGTAATGGAAGGATAATGGCAGATTTAGTATTTTGTTTTAGAATATTACGGAAAGAGATCGATTTGAGGGCCAGCAATTTCTGGATTTTTAGGCCAATTAGCTGTAGGATAGGAGAATTCAATCTCCATTATCCAAGATTGAAAAAGTCGCACTATCTTAACCTTTTCAACTCGCTATTTTACCGCTGCGCACGGTGGTCCAACCGTTTGCCTATCAAAATACCATCTGCCAAAAATGGGTTCTTGTTCATAAAGAGATTGCAAAAAATTGATCTAGGGTTTTGAACGTTGATCCTTATCTTTGTTAATGCATTTTTTGTTTCGTCAATGTTCATTCAGGTTTCTATCAAATGCAGACGGCTTCTTAGTTTCGGATGTTGCAAGTTGTCATCACGTTGACTTTCTGATTTTTCCTTTTCTTCATTCCTACTAACAGCTATTAGTTGCTCATCTTTTATTTTTCAGGTGGCTTATCCCTTTCTGGCTGCCATAGTCGGCTACCGTGGTTGTGTAATCCTCATATTACGTCGATTGGAAGTTTTGTTTTTGTTGCTAATTGGGTACTTTTTTTGAGCAACTTAACCCATCCCTGCTTGAACAACAGACTTCTGGAGTCTACTCACTGTAGGCTGCATCTTCTGTCCTTTCTATTATATCTTCTCATGTGATTCCAGTAGTAAATTGTTAGGTTGTAATTTTCGGATACCTAGCATCCGAAAATTTATTGCTGGTCTGTTCATTTACCCGGATGAACAGAGGCATTTTTCGCTGCCATTCACCTAACGGGCCTACAGGGACTGAGTTAATCACAAGCTTACCTAGTTTCCTATCATTTCTACTCTTCATAGTGGGAATGGGTGAGGTATTACTAACTCTATTGCGTGGCAGATAATCTATAGCTACTTTGTTTTAGATTTTTTTCATTTTGGTGCACCCTTGGGCGTAAGAATAAATAAATAAATAAATAGTTAATATCACGGAGGCAGATTAATGCATAGTTGACCGCGCTGGCAAAACTCTCTAGTTAAGTCTGCCTTATAGCTGACTACTATAAGTAAGTAGTGTGATACCAGTATATTAAAACCAAGCCCATTTCAAAAGTTTTCTAATCGCAGTACCTGTTCAAGTGATCCAAGGCTTGTTTTGTAGACTTCCAGTTCCCTTTTCGCCAGTTGCTGCTCCGTGTGTGCCTGAAAATGGTGCCATTCAGAATATATGGTGCAAAAGTCACCATAATTTTGAAATCCCTCACTTGTGAAAGCTGTCTTTCCAAATCTGCAATTTTCCGCTCTTTTTCCATTATATTGCTTGTCGATGGTGCCCTTTGTAGGCCACAATTTGACAGGTCGTACTGGGAGGTCTCTCGACGCCTGAGGTAATTTCTTCGACATGATGTTTTTACTTACTTGGTTCGCATACCTTGGCAAATACAAGGAACTGCTCAATTCAGAATCAGTCATTCTCCTGTTCAGAGTTCTGACTGAAGTGAACGAAGACATTGAAGAGAGGGAGTACTGACGACCAGAATTTGATAGCCGACCGGAACTGCTGCGACCTAAACTGATTACAGTTTAGAATGTGAAAAGATACATCGTTAATGTTACTATCACTGGGTAATCACATTATTGCAGCAAGCGTTTTGGAAAGAAATAAACAAAAAAAGCCGTTTTGCCTCTTAGCTAGGCCAGTTAGAGACAAATTCATCAGCGTTACAGCCTTCTCATTCCGCACCTCTATATCCATCACTATATCCAGTTGTCGTCGAAGTCAAATATGACCTCCTGTGACTACCTGCACTAAATTTTCCAATAAGTCAACAGTATTAAGCTATCCAAGTTTCTGGATCAAGAAATTAGTAAAATACACAGCCTCACCGTAGTCAGAATCCACTGACGATTCGCGCTCAAATGTTGAGTCTAACTTCATCTTTTGCGAGTTGTTCTCGGATTCCAGTCTGAAAACAACTTCAGCTGATTTGTCAATCTTCAAAATAATTTCGAAGGCTTAAATTTTTCGGGTTATTCAAAAATTAAATAAAATTCTCACTTCATATTTTTCCGTTTGAGGTCGGCCAGCTTCTCCTCTAGTTCGGTAACTCTAGTCTTGTGTTGCTCTTTCAATTCCTTCATACAGTCAGCCATAACAACTTCCTTGTCCTCCAGTTTCTTTTCCAATTTGCTGATTTGGTGGTCTTTGCGCCGACATTCCTCTTTCTAAAAGTGACCAGAGAACAATTGTTTAGCTCCGTTCTTGAATACTCGGTCCAAAGGCATTGAATAAGCATATATTGAGTTGGCACAAAAGTTTATTCGCAACATTTCCGAAGATTCATAATTTCCCTCTTCTGAACCGATTGCAGAAGCTTATTCTTATTCGTAAGAGCACATTATGTTCTTTCTAATACTACCGAATTAATTGACAAAAGCAAGCTTCGGAGATTAAATTACTAAATTAGAAATTACTCGATTTTCGAATTCCCTGTGTTTGGTCGAAAAGAAATCTGAAACTTGCAACAAATATCGGAGCATCGGTTTGAGGCCCGTAGTAAAGCTCAGTCACGGGAGATGATCTCCCCTGAGACCCTCATATGAGGCTTTGTCGGGTGAGATGAGAACTGCCCACCTTTCCGTGGTATAAGTATGCAAGGTCAACCTACAGGTGAGCTTCAGATGAAGCCCGGCAGGGAGATCACTTCCCGACCGAGTCATCGGAGATGAGCCGGGCGACGAGATGAGGTAAATACTGTGCTGAAGAGGAGAGCACAGAGAAAACCTCCGTAAGTTGCTCCCGAGTAACTTACGAAACATCGCAGCTGACGTTCTTTTGCGGTGCAAAACTCCCAAAAGTGCACAATTTCGGGCGCCTAAGTGAATGAGGATCGATGAACAGCTGATTGCGCGACGAAATGGAAAAAAGGGGTCTTTTTGCATTTTACTTGCAGTTTTTGCTTGTTTTTCTTAAAGAACCGCTTCGGATGACGAAAATCTAGATTTACTTTTCTGTTCATTTTTCGCCAGGTGTAATTTTCCTCGTATGAGTGCTAAAACAATGTGTATTTGTTTTATCTCTTTGTTTGCTAGGTGAAATCTCTGATAGCTGCTATCATCGATTTTTCGATAACGGCCGCTATCAAAGGTCGCCAGGCCAAGTAGCAAAAATTATGCCGCTAGCCGCACTCGAACCACGGCTCTGCCGCTCGAAATGCATTAGTCTTATCCACTCGACTAGTAATGCACAATGGTAGAAACGTTCCACCGCTGAAAACGCGTCGTCCAGTAAGTGATCTGCTCGAAATCAATCGCTCCCCTGGCAATGTGCTGAGGCGCGATGAGATCAACTCCGGTCCGCCTCAAGAGAAATGCCCTGATGGGGGTTTACTACGGGCCTATGTTATTGGACAACCAGTGCAAAAAGCAAACTTGATTTCCAGTAACTTCCAAGTTCCGTTTTCATGAAACCTTGGCATTTGTCGTAAGTTCAATTTTCTATTGTGCCAAACAGGTTTGATAAGTGGTCTTTATTTCTTTCCAATCACGGCCTTACGTTTCGACGCCTTTCGTCTTCCTCAGAGGCCTGAATGGTTCTAAGTGTTATCCGTAACTCCAGACCACCAAGCGTCTCCTCCCGCTCTGCTAGTTCTCGGCCTTTTCACAATCTCGCTACCAAATGAAATGTCAGTGTAGCAGGACATACCGGAAGACCACCGCTACTCGAGTAGTCTGCACCGGAAATAGGCGGTCGCGGCAGACGAGTGAATCGTACTGTAGATACCCAAAGATGATCTACAGTCACAGATCACATAATGATACGAACGGGAGGAAGTCAGAAGTTATTGATAAACACTCACAATAATATAATAAGAACAAATAACAAATAATAACAAATAACATATAATAATAATAATAATAACATATAATAATAATAACAAATAACATATAATAATAAATAACTCTCACAACATAATAATAAGAACGAGTGTTTATCAATAACTTCTGACTTCCTCCCGTTCGTATCATTATGTGATCTGTAACTGTAGATCATCTTTGGGTATCTACAGTACGATTCACTCGTCTGCCGCGACCGCCTATTTCCGGTGCAGACTACTCGAGTAGCGGTGGTCTTCCGGTATGTCCTGCTACACTGACATTTCATTTGGTAGCGAGATTGTGAGAAGGCTGAGAACTAGCAGAGCGGGAGGAGACGCTTGGTGGTCTGGAGTTACGGATAACACTTAGAACCATTCAGGCCTCTGAGGAAGACGAAAGGCGTCGAAACGTAAGGCCGTGATTGGAAAGAAATAAAGACCACTTATCAAACCTGTTTGGCACAATAGAAAATTGAACTTACGGCAAACTTGATTTTTTTTTCTTTTTTTCCGAAAATCACAACTTTCAATAGGAACATTTGAGCAGCGCAAACTTTGTTCATGCAGAAAAAGCAAGCAGTAAGTTCTACAATACCGACTCCGATTTTCGTTGCAAGTTTTAGATTCTTTACGATCAAACACAAAAAATTCGAAAATTGAGTAGTTTTCCTCTCAGGTTTCGATTTAAAAAGCTTGCTTTTATCAAAAGGTATTTTAGGTATTATTGGAAATAACATGATTTCATCTTTCGAAAAGAAAATAAATGTTTGCAAATAGGTTCAGATATGATTTTTAGTAATGGTGTGAACGAACTCTCATGCTAACCTAATAGATTTCAAAAAAATTGAACAAAGAGTGAGCCGCTTTTTACACTTACCAAAATATCGTACTTCTGTTGCAATTTAGCCAAAATAGCCTGAGCATATGTTTGTTCATCCTTAGCTCTTTCTTGTTCTCTTTCCAGTTTGCGCCTCAAATTCTTCTCCTCCAGCATGGCGTTGTCATGCCTGGCTATTCGTTCCTCAAAAAAGTACTTTTTTGCAACTTGATTTTCTTCAGATTAAGTTACGTTCAGTTCCGTTATAGTCCGTTGCAGGTCCGAAATCGTATCCAACTGTTTTCCAGCACGGAACTTCTCATCTTCTACCTCTGACATAGCCCTAAATGCAAAAAGATAATTTTTTATATTTTCAGAAAATACTTGGGAACCAGCCGAGCAGTGTGCTTTTCCAAAGATACCTACTTTTCAAATTTTAGTTGCCACTTATTGGCTTCATTCGTTAGTTTATCGATTCTTCCTTCGAGTTCAGATATCGTGGAGGAATATTCTTGGCATTCCTTTTCCTTCAAATCCCTGATCGCTTTCTCTTTCTCATACAGCTCCCGTAACTAAACAATGCTCCATATCAGTATTCAGAAACCACTAAGGAATTGACCAAACCTTTTTGACTTCTTTTTCAAGATCCTCTTTCTCCATATCCATTTGATCCAATTTTCGCTCATATTCTCGTAGTGATTCATTCATTTTCTAGAAGATGCATGATGCTTTGAAGACTTTGACAACGGAGTAATAATGAATACGCTTACCATGACTTTCTGATGTTGTTCGTTGTATTTTTTCTCGAGTAGATCGAAGACATCCTCATTTTGCTGCATTTCCAATCGCACTTTTTGTATCTCCTTGTTTTTCTCAGCAACTTCCTATAAAAACATGAAAATAGGTCTAAACAAACTGGCATTCCGATAATATTTTCAAAAATATGATCTGTAGTGGACAAGCATGATTATAATCTTTTGCTACAACCTTTTGAAGCTGTCCTTCAAAATGTTGCCCAGTATCTGATATAGTAGTGCTGATTGATCCCTTTTGGAGAGTGTACGGTAATGGGCGAAAAAATGAATTTTTTTGTCTATCATGGATTCATATGAGGTGCCGCTGGGCAGAACTTAACTAGAATCTCTCATCATACCCCCCCCCTTCCTAAATATATTTTCTCCTATAATCTTTATACCTTTTCAATGAGTATTCGAGCTTCCTCTGCGCTTTGCTCTGCTTCTTCCACTTTCTCCGCGAGAAGTTCACAGTTCTAGATTTTTCTTATTGTCGCCAAACTCTGTAAGTCATGATCTACCCATACCGTTGATAATATCAAATTTTCTCGACGAAGCTTTTCATTTTCTTTCTCAAGCTTCGCATTCAACTCTTCCAGCTCCTTTATCCGTTCCTTGTCCCTCTCCTGGAAAGATAGAACAGTTGAGCAAATGAAGCAACGCTCGTAATGTGTAAAAATGCGTGCCTTGGGTATGAGTGGACGAACAAGTGCCAACAGACGGAACCATGGCCAAACGGCAATGTCGGCGAATGCTCGAACGTTGTTTTGCACGATGTGGACAGCATTCCTGGATATGATATACATGACACTGGGAAGGAGGAAGCAAATTGGTTAATTTTTGCGCACATCATGTCCGGGTAAGAACAGTACTCTATTTGAGGGCATGAGCACATCCCAAATACTATATTCTAAACACACAAATAAAATTCATTTATACTGCTTGACCCAGAACGAAGGAGGCAAAATATTTGAAGGTAGCTACGTAGGGGAAAGCGTTTTCGCTTGCGAATGAGTAAAATAATTTGCGACATTTTTCGAAGAGTTAGAAACAGCTTTGCAGAAAAATTTTTTCTGGGCCCTAACTGCTGCCACGCCCCTTTTCCTCAATTCCAAGGTAATAGGCCCGTGATTGGGAGAGAACCCTCCAAAGTTTTTGGAGGGTTTCAAGCACGCCCATTCAGAATCTGCCCCTTCACCTCCCCCCCCCCCCCCATCCCGAAAAAAATTCTGAGACAGCAAGTGTTTTGAACAACATTCTCCCCTCTATGTCCCACATCTTTTGTGCACTCAAAAAATCTTGCATCTTTTTCGGAACTATCCGATTACAAGAAGTTACTTCAGTTCGAATATTCTAAAATAATGCACAAAATTTTTTTACTGCAGTTTTTTGCAAATATACAAAGTCTTTAGGCAGAGTTTGGCCCAAAAGTTTTCTTAAATCCATGAGTTTTCTTTTTTAATTCACGAACAACTTACAGCTGTTTCTTCCTTAGACGAAGATCCTGTTGTGCATTTAAGAAGCGAATCCTTGCTTGCAAATTGATAATAACACTATTGAGGTAGTCGCGTCTTCTTGCCTCCAGCTAAACACCCATCAATGCCAAATCAATCGATTATTGATTGATCACCACTTACATCCGAAATTACGCCAATTTTACAGAAGATCTTAGTGTGCCCAATTTGATACCGTGAAGTATCGATATGGGCTGCTTTGCAGATCTCAGCGGCACCCCAACCTAGAAATTTTTATTTTTTCACAAAGTGCTAGTGAAGTTGATTGTCACCGTTTGCTGGTGCGTCCTTCTTGAGGATATTGTATCTCGTGACAAATTCTGCAAATGGAAGTCGTGAAGGATAACCTTCGCGACAAATGCGAATCCCCTCCAGAACTCCATTGCATCTGAAGCATAGAAATGAACAAAAAAAGTTGAAAGCCTTGAAAATGATATTTACTTGAGCTGATTAAGGACAAGAGGGCCATCAATTTTGTTTGGCATGCGCTCGTAGTTTGGCACCACACACCGGATAAAGTGCGCAGCAGATGAGGATAATGTGTCGAGTAGACTGCTAAGCTGATTCTGAATGGGGCAGATTGTATATTCAATCGATATTTTGTAGCTTCAAATTTACCCTATACAAGAACGAAACTGTAGATTGGCATAAAGTTCCTCTCCTTGAACGAGTGAGCTCGTTGGAAACTGAAAATATGATTGTGAATTTTCTTTTCTCGTTCTCCTGCATGCAGCTCGAACCCCTTTCTCCCTTTTGATTTGGACGTACATTCCCGCATATTTTGGTTTTTCTTCAAATTTTGGAAAGGAGTAGGTGGGTGTGAGCATCAGTTTAATTACCAACAAATGGGTAGTGGATTAAAGAAATGAGTAGCGGGCTGTAAGCACTAGTCAGACCGGTTAATTCCGTGTTTTGTTAGAATCGATTAGGACATTGGAAGTCTCTCGATGTTACAACCATTTCGTTTTCGATTTTTTGAACAGTTTTTCTGATTTGTGGATATTTTTAAGAAACTATCGTTTTCCTCCGTTCCGAAATATTTTCGATTCCGCTGAAAGTCAATACGATTTTACGAATCTAAATCCCGGACTGTCCCCTCTCCTACCCCCCCCCCCTCCGCCCCCCCCCCCTCCCCTCCCCTGTTACCCTAGCAAGTCATCACGCTTCAGCGATAAACGGTTGTCGAACACTTATCATAAATCCAAGGCGACGTTCCGGATGGCACCGTCAGACATTTAGCTGTGATTGACGAGGATGTTAGCGCTACTCGTAAATAGACCCCACAAGAGGGTGAAAATGAGTAATGTCATTGTTTTTGCAAAGTCGTTACCTGCCGGGAATAGCTTCCGCACAAGCGATTTGGTTGATTCGCTCATCACTTCCAACACGGCATTTTCGACAACATCACGATTTTTCTCCACCCATGAGTCGATGTTGTAATCAACACTGCCAGCGTAATGTTTGATAGTAAAGTGTTTCACAGTTTGACACCTATAAACTTCTCTAATTGGGTAAGAAATCCGCTGATAGAGGCTACGGACCTTTGTGAATGCTTGGCTTTCTTGAATTCTGGATATTTTGCCAGATTTGTGCAGAGTTTCTGGAGCAAGGATTGGTCGGAGCCATTTGGTACCACGCATTCCTCTTCCAGCAGCGATAGTAAACCAAGTGGCTGAATAATTATAGAGGAATTATAGATAAAACACCAACAATGGGTAAGAAAGGAAAGTTTCAAAGTTCGCATTTTTGAAGAGAAGCAGGCAATTTTTTTTGGAATTTAATTTGACCACACGATTTCTTCAACGGAATTATTTTGAGCAAACCTGTGCATCTAGCATCATCTATCTTACAGAAAAGAAAATTTGAAAAAATATTTCGATGATAAAAGCATTATGGGAAACTTGTGAAGCAAAACTACAGTAGTCTTTATGGAAAATTGCAATTTCAACTACTAAAGCGTTACAAAAAATACAGTTTTCTGAAGATCAGGAAAGCCAAGTGTTGCGGATCGGTGGGCCCTGCACCCGTAGCCGTGTGCTCGACTGCTCTACACCACAACCCAACATAGGACATTACGTACCCGCAACCGACGTGCACTTCGGCGCGTCCACTCGACGCGGTCACTCAACTCTCCAGCTCATGTATAACGCACATATAATTGGATTAAGTGGCTTCCTAAAGAGGATGTCCAAACTAATAACATGGGACGGGCTGCGCGTCCTGTGCTGCCAATGTACCAGTGGCTTGATCTAACCAAGATGTTCTAGGTACTCCAAACAGTCGAACACTGGAGTTCCAGTCTTATGGAACGGTGCACTCACCAGCTCCATACCCGCAAAAATGTTATCTAGGAACTTCCTGGTTTCCTCGCGATGACGCGCGTCCAATTTACAAGATCCAAAAGGCTCAACACCGCTTAACAAGAAATCCTCAACTGCGGGAGCTGCCCAGTAGCCAAGTATGATACAAGATAATCTAGAATGAAGACGAATGTCGAAGAGGCGAGGGTTGCTCTCACGCGCAGCCTCAAATACCCCGCCGCTTGGCTGTGCTACAAGCCGGATGTGGTCCTGCAGCAGTCTACAAAAGGCGCGACAGGCAAACGCGGCATACAGCGCCTCCGGCACCTGTTCCGAGGAGCTGCTCTGCATCGCGGAGTCGCGGCACCAAGTCATACATAATCGTGTTATTGTTTCTAGAATATCAGAAAAGGAATAGTGTTACCTACCTTTTCAATGATATCAATGGTCGGCTGCAAATCAAGCGCATAATCGCTTTGTTTCCATCGTATACCCTCCTCGAGATATTCGCTTTGTTCCCGAACGAACATAAAGTGATTGAAGAAGGCTTGCAACTTTTCATTAGTGTAGTTAATGCAAAGCTGCTCGAATGAATTGTTCTGGAAGATTATGAGTTTGGTTGCTTACGTATGGAGGGAATGTCAAAATACCTGAACAATTTCGAATCCAGCGATATCAAGAACACCGATGAAACGATTGTAGATCGACGATGCGACTAAAATATCATATAAATCTTCTAGAATGGGAAGAAGAGGAAATGGAAGAAGGAAGTGGGAGAAGGAAAAAAGAATGCAAGGCCAGGAGGGGTGCTTAGAACGGCTCCAAGAGCTCGCAAATTTCAAACTCCAGAACTCCAAAAAAAAACTTTGTAGTCGAACTGAGTACATTGTCTTTTGAGCGAAGATAATCGAGTGTTAAAATTTTTTAAAAAAATCCTCAAAAAAGTTCATCAAAAAAGAACTTACTCATGCTCGTGTTCTCGCTAATCGCTTCGTTGCATTTGTCCAGTAACCATCGGAATATGCGTTCGTACAGTACTTTAGCCAGCGCTGCTGCCGAAAATACGGTCTGAACGTGAAAAATTTTCAGCATCCGATAGAATTTGTCGGCAATTTCAAACAACGGTAAAGATGCCAAACCTTCTGCATATTCTGATTTTTCCGAATCACGCTCTCGCCGACTTTGATGCTTGGCGATGTGAGTGCTTCATTCAAACGAGAAGATTTCACTCCAAGTAATTTTGTCACAGCATCAATTTCTATAAAATGCAGTTTTTTATAGAATCTTCTCTTATCGAATTGCCTAATAGTACTCCACCTGCTTTTCCGTCCACATAGCTCATGTCGAGACCGCTACGTTCTCCGAATTTGATTTCACCAATTAGCAAACACGCGGCTACCAAGCTGTACACTTCCATTTTCTCGTCACTGGTAATTCCGAGTTTGTCCATGGCACGCTGAAAGAAATTAAGATTTCTATTCAAGATATACGAGAATTAAGATGTGACTAATACGCCGATCCTCCAGTCATAAGTAATGAAGGCCTTTCCAATAATGTAACCTTTTCCAATTATGTAAGTCTTTTATACCAATTTCTTCTCAATTTATTAATTTTATGCCTTATTTCGCCTCATTTCAAAGGCTCATTTTTGGAATGTCATATCCAGTTCACGTAACGGAGGCGGGGGCACACTTCAAAATTAGAAAGAGAACGTGCCCGCAATTCTACTAAAGCTTAATTCAACTAATAGTATTTCAGAGAATGTCAAGAATAAACTGGACTTGATTAAAATTACCATAGTTTGACCATATTTATGTCAAAGCTATACATTATTTCAATTTGCAAAACAGTAAACTGCAAATTGATAACATCAAAAAACATCAAAAGATGTATTTGGGAAAGCAAATTTTGATCCACATCATTTTGATGATGTTTAAGTGCAAAATATGCAGATTCTATTGCCAAGATTACCATAAAGCTACCATATAGTGTCACAAAGGAGACAATAGTGTGGTGGTAGTAGGCTAGACTATTTGGCAGATAGTACGTTCGTATTTCAACGTACGCACCTCCTTCGTAGTTTTTACCAGAAACTTCCACTTCTTCAGGAGATTTCAGCTTGCAGAGATAGCCTTACTTTGTCAAGTTTTACGAGAGCTATTTTTACCAAGGTTCTAGTACACTGCTTTACTCCCCCCCCCCTCATATCCCTTCTTTGCGAACCATTTGCACTTAGATTTATGGTGATGGATACGGTAGATACGATAATAAATCAATTTATAGCTATCCATCGCTTTTTTGAGAGGTGTAATTGCATGAATCTGTGCGTTCACGAATGATTGGTATATCAATTTAAATATCTTGTATAATTTTGATGTGAAAAACATGAAAATTGTGCATAGAACTCGATGATATTAGAAACAAACTCACCAATGAGTTTTTGGGAGGGCTCACTAATCATATTTTGTTCGTTCAAGGAAAGTAGTTTTTTTTTACTTTTTACTTTTACTTTCGTCTATACTAATTTATAATTCTATGTCAACTCTTAATAAATATCATCACTAAACTTGTTCCTGTTGTTAGAAGTTGTAAAAATCGAAGAAAGAATATCATGAAAAATTGCCTTCGAAATGTTTTCAAAAGCCCTGAGATTTGCGAAAATTAGTTTGGAAAATTTAGACCGCTACTTTCCGTGCTGTATTTTTATGATGTATTTTAGAAAGTATTATGAAAATAATCTATAGCATGACAAGGAAACCTACGTTGGTCAAAATCCCGTCAGCTGCATCATCGATATCCTTATCAAATGATACATTTCCTTGATTTAGAAACTTGTACTGATCTGCTGACTTCGTCAACAAAAGCTGTTTTCGCATTTCTTTTGAGAAAGCGTTTGAGAGCAGCTGATAGAACACATGGAAATTTCTATTTCCTCTATTTTGGCTAACAACTCGAGATTTTTCCAAGAGATCTGAAAGAGATTCTTATTGGTTAGGCTGGAAAGGGGTTTGAGTCAACTCACAGCATTCAATTTGGGCAGACTGCAACTTTCCTTGGTCGTCGAATTCTATCCTAATGAATTTGCCCTAAAAATTGATTTTAGCGCACTTTTTTAAATAATAATTTCATAAAGACTCACAAATCTCGAACTATTGTTATTGTGCGTGGTTCGAGCGTTTCCGAATGCTTCGAGTAGCACACCAGACGAAACCACATCGCTTCCTACCGAACTACTGTCCTTTACATGACCGTTCGTCAAGCCATTACTTGTGTGCTGATGCTTCGAGCTACTCGGAGTGCTACCGCAGCATTCGAGCACATATTCGATGATTCTCTTCGTGTTCTCGGTTTTGCCAGCGCCTGATTCCCCGCTGCAAAAGGGGAGCTCACATATTTGTCATGTGTCATATGTAACTCAATATGTGAGTCTGCACCCTGTGCGCGACAACCAACGAGATCCTTAGCAGTTACCCTCGGTAACACCTTTTCTAGCTTAGCAAGCTATAGGGATGTGTTATACTAACCACTACCTATCCGATCAAATTAGAGGAAGTAAGGAAAGAAGGTAAAATTATTAAAATTGAGTACATTCTAATCTTACAAGTCGTCAAATAGCGCGCATGGTGTGCAATACGCATATTGAGTTACAAATGACAGCGATAGATAAAATAAAATATGAATTATAGCGAGAAAATACTCACGTTATAAGAATCGACTGGTTGCGGCCACCTAAATGTTTTGAAATTTTGTTGTAATGAAAAAATATGAAAAGTTAGAAAAGAGTTCTAAGGAATTTGAGTAATTCAAAACAAATGCTGATCTAAAGCAGGATTTCCTCTGATTCTCAAATTTGATGCAAATTTCAAAATTTGCAAATTTTTTCAAACTTATTCACAAAATTGGTTCTTTTTGATTTTCTGCGATTTCTGAATATTATTCGTTGGGTAAGCATCTGGTATCTTGATGTTAATTGATATGATACAAAATTTCGTTTGAAATGTGATTATTCTAAACGAATTTTTGGATTTTCTTATTATTCTTTGATCTCTCCGAAACTGATGCACCAGTATGTTTGAGCGAGAGCGATTGATCATTTGCTCGTTTCTGGCGCTATTTACAATGGCTAACATCAAAATCTCTGTTCTCCGCACAATTAGCTTAACAATGTCGTGGAGAACGAGATTTGATTTTTAGACCAGAGGAAAACGGTGGAAGTGGTTCGGTTACCAGCGTTGGAGGCAACTGTTTTTGTTTTTACCGTTGGCAATATTTCAAACAGCAAAAAAGTACTGATATTTTCTAGTGTCAAAGAAAGCCCATCAGGGAATCAAGCTGATTTGGAAGCATTATAAAAAATGGAAGGACAATGTGAAAAATACTATGCATCAGCCTTAATTCGTTTCGCCAAGAATTATAATGCCACTGATTGCCCCTGCAAAAACAAAGTAGTGCAGATGAAACATTCAAAAGTGGTTCATAAAAATGAAATTTAGCTAACTCCGCCCCTCGCCACGCCCTATGTCGTTCCTCCTGTTCAAAGATGTACCTCTGAGAATTCCGTCATAGGCGCTTTGAGCAACCAGGTAGATGTGGGGATGCATGTCGCCAACTCCTGTACGGTATGTGGACATCAAGTCCGTGGTGTAGATTGGCAAAGCTCGCCATGGATTCAGAACCACGCAGAACAGTCCACAGTGCGTCTGAAAATAAGTGGTCGGATTTATTTGCGAAGAAAAATCCCTTCTATCCCTTTTCCGTTCTTCTCTGTTCCTTGCTTACATCTTCTTTACCGTAATAGGGTATTCTCTGATCTCCTTAAGAATTACCCAATCAGCGAACTTTGGTCCCCCACCACACGGAACTTTCTTTTTCGGGCACATCACTGCGGGCAGAAAACAAACTAGCTGTCAAACGTACTTTTGCAATGCACTAGACGCCTGTTAGGCTAAAAAGTGTATGGAGTTTGCAGTAGTACATTTTTGCGTTTTACACTGATCTCCTGCACACACTTACATTTATCATAACAGTTAGTGGATCTTGCAGAATGCAGGTAGCCATGGCAGTTTTTGCTCTACCGTAGTCGAGTCAAGAACTCCTGAGTCTCCTAGTCTACGTAGAGAGGAGATACCAAAATCTTAGAGCGCAAGAAACAAAGGATAGTCGAAAAAAAGCAAGCCCATAAAAGGCAAAGGAAGATGACATCCTGCTTACATGCAGTGGCGTACCCAGGATTTCGGCTCGGGGGGGGCGCGGCAAAAAAAATTTTTAAATGAAGGTGCGTGGCGTTAGCCACGCACTCCGAAAAAATTTTAGGGGGGCTTCTCAACAATTTTGCGGGCCCCCAACCCCTAAAATCCGGAAAAAGGGGGCGTGGCGTCAGCCACGCCCCCGAAAAAATTTTTTTTATAAAGCTATTTTGAATTTTTAAAAAATTTTAAAAATTATTTTAATTGTTTACAAAAATAAACAAGTCATTTGCACATTTTTATAACGCATGTAAGTAACTTTCAAAAATTTCGCGACCCGTTCTCGGGGGGGGCGCGCGCCCCCCCCGCCCCCCCCCCTCGGTACGCCACTGCTTACATGTGTTCCCAAGCTCTCATCCTTTCATAATCTGTGTCCCTGTGCGCAATCCAATATTTTGCGCATTTTCTTATCGGCACAAAGTATTTGCATTGCTCAAATGTATATGCTTGTTTTTCTATATCGGACCTGTTTTCCTTGTTCTCTCAAAAGCAACTTGCAAGTTTACCCTATTTTTGTGTTATAAAGAATAGGCCCTTAAAATGCATTCATTTCATTTATCTATTTTTTTCATAATTTGCCGCATGATGTCTTACGAACCAACCTTAGAAAACATACAAGCTTATGCAAGAAGCCTTTGTACTACTTACTGTACTACTTACTTACTGTACTGCTTTTACTTCTACCGTATAAATCACAAAGTGGGTACACATTTGAAATCATTTACAGGGCACTAACTCTGTATTGAATGATAGGAGCTTATAAATGTAATCATTTGCCAAATACCAACAAAATCACTACATAATACACTACTCAATAATCACTACTCAATTATACTCATCTACCGTAAGCCCTCTCCGTGCTAATATGAAGCAGAATATGCAATTCGATTAGAAAGCTGTTTCACTCTAACACACGAGTCTCCTATCGAAAAAACACTCCCAAAAACGGTTTGTGTTAAAACTGTCAGACAAATGCGCTTCAAATGCTTTCAGTGGCTTAGCCTATTCGAAATACCTCAAAGCTTATGAGAAAAGCTATCTAACTTAGCTCGGCCTTTTGAGTTCTGAATCAGCTTTGAATGCTGATTCCAAATATGCTATTCCTAGCTGCCGGGCATCATTCCGAAGAGAATTGTGGGCTTTTTCCTGCGTAAAATTGGCATATTAATGAACATGGGAAAAATGCCCGTAGATAAAAATCAGCAAGAAAAGGGTGCTGACACATCGAAATAATAGAATTCCAATCTTTTCTCACCAAAAAGAAGCTCAACGCAAGTGTATTAGCACTTAGATGATGATGCCGTGATGCCAGTGAGTCGATGAGTATGCCTATTTCGCGCAGGAAAAAGCCCAGAACTCGCTTCGGAACGGTGCTCGGCAGTTAGGAATAGCATATTTGGAATCAGCGTTTGATGCTAATTCAGAATATATATGTCCCTTGCCAAAAGGCCCAGCTAAGTTAGGTAGCTTCCCTTGTTAGTTGATAACTTTGGTATTCACTAAATTAGGCTATTATGTGTATAGTACTGTTGTGTTAGTGATTGATCAGCTGTTCTCATACGATCTACAATCACTCAGTTGATTGCATCTCAATGTGCGCAAATGAGCGCTATAAGAGGCGCTCACTCTTAGCTTCAGTTAGTTCAGTTCACTTGATTGCCTCCCTTACTGTTTACTTATTTTTTCGTAAGAGATTTTCCTGGTTCCTCTTGCGCCGCTGAACGAAGTGAGTGTCCAAGGCGAGGACACAACGGGGATACGCATCTTACCAATTTCATCAATCGGTCCAACCTCTGAATCTTTTATAAAAGCTTGGCTTGTGTACAATTATTATCTGAGGAAAAAGCGCTTTTAGAGTAAAGGGAAATGCAAAAGTTCTGTTTCCTAGCTTGTTATAAGCAAACGGCTAGTTTTCTGCAAAATTTACAACTTTGTCCATCTGCTCTGCTAGTTAAGCGGATTCGCTCGTAGCTGTAAAAGCATATGCAAAAAGATTGCGTTTTGTAAGTTTTCAAGTATATGAAGCATCGATTTGACGTATTATAGAAAGAAATGCAATTTGAGAATGACATCGTCTGTACGCATTAAGAATTTTGAGAGAATATCGACTGCATAAGAAAAATTATGAGTTCTTTTCTCAAAACCCTGACACATGTTTAGTTGAATAGTGTTGTCTACTTTTTTTTGTATTTTTTCGAAAATTAAGCCACAATTGAAGTGTTCTAATATCATCCTGTTGTGGCACGAAAACAACGATTAAACACAAGAAATGTTTAATCTGGTGATATTGCAGTGCCCCTAAGTTGCAATAATATTATGGGTAGATGGCAAACTAATGAAAGGAGGCCGACTCAATCAAATATTAGGTTGATGCAAAAGTTCTTTCCCCCCATTTTCAAAAATTCATAACTTCCGATTTTTTCAACCAATTCGGCTGTGTTTATTTTTATATGAAAGGTAACTCATGCTCTTCATTATGACATCTTAACTGCTTGCTAATGGTCATTTGTTGCATAGATAGGAGCGATAGAAAAAAATTAGTCAAAATTTTAGGGTCATAAAAAATCGGAAACTTGCAAGAAAAATCGGAGCAGTCAGTATTGTAGGTTCTTTTACCAGCTCCTTCTAATGGTGCAAAGTTTGCAGCGATTGAGAATCTCTATCAGAAGTTATGATTTTCGAGCAAGCAATACAAAAGGGCGATTTTGATTTATTTTGGCATTTTTCAGGGAAATTGTAACTTTTGATAGAGACGAGAAACACAGCTCCGATTTTTCTTGCAAGTTTCCGATTTTTTAAGACCCTACACAGCAAATTCAAATTTTGACCAATTTTCTTCTATCACTCCTATCTATGCAAAAAAATGATCATTAGCAAGCAGCTAAGATGTCATTATGAAGAGCTTGAGTACTAGAGCAAGTTGTTTCCTTTCATTTTGAAATCTTACTGCTGAAAGCTCCGAAACTGTGTCCTGTAGATTTTCTACTATTTCGCAAGAATTTTGCAATCTCTGCAGCCACTATCATTAATCCCAGATCCCTCAATTCTTTTTCAGCAGTATTCTGGCATTCGTAGCCAACTAGGCCATTTCTCTTTATTCTTGCTACTAGTATCATGTTTTACTGCAAACAGCCGCTGCAACCATGCAACAGCGGCTATCCAGCAGTTGGCGCTATTGTTATTTATAATCAACAATGATATAAATAGAAATCAGAAAAGGAAGGTAAGCTTACGTGGATCACATTCTGAAGGTAGCGCCTCTTTAGGGAATCCAGCACGGTGGCAGCATTTGGCTCTGTGAGTTGGCAAAGATCCGATGCTAGCGAGTTCAGTGTCGGTGCTTCGCATTCGACGCGAGGGACACGCTTCTGAAGAAGGAAGAACTTTTTGACAGAATCACGTTTTTGTAATCCTTTCTTGTCTGAATTTTCCCCTCCCCCTCTTTCACTTATCATAGGCGAAGAGAATGAGGAGTACACATGGCGGAATGAGCCATAATATTCAGCGCGTGAGTGCCAGCTGTCTACGGGAGGGTAAAAAACCTCATGCAAAATCGAGCTATCACATCAGGCAACTCTATCAACTTTCGAAGGGAGTGCTTTCAACTGTAATATGATTTTTTGCAGACTATATTTCATGAGAATTTTACCTGCCCCAAATACCACTAAAATAGAAATAGCCACTGCATAAAATAACAATTCTTTTATTATGGCGGCCCAGACAATAGAAGGTGTCAAAATACATTAACCTCAGGAAAAAAACTGTTTATTTCTTCTGTTCATCAGTTGGAAAAGCTCATAATATTGAACTAACATAATAACATAATATTGATGTCTTCTCCCTGATCCTTGGAACCGCAAATATAGACTCATGAAAAATCAAAAAAGTTGCTTCTCAGAATAGCTCGAATAGCCTTACTAGGAAGCAAATTCGCAAACTATAATTAACTATAACTATAACAAAGGTTTGTACAAGCTCTGGTCTAGCATGGCTGGTTTGTATTCAAAGTAACTTGATCCGAGTTCGAATAGGTAATTTTTTATGGAAATGGAAAAAATCTTTGCAATGCACTGATCGAATAGCTATTTCAGAAGTTAGCTATTTTCATTCAAATACCGCCTATGGAAAGCAGCTTTCCCCGCTCTAAAAATTATCACATTCAAAAAAAAAAGCATTGCCCCAGGAAGAAAGTTCCCAGATCTTTACCAGCCAGTTCATGTCAAACTTATTGCAATAATTTGTTTTGTTAGCAATCGCACTTAGTTCGGCTATTAGCAAAAATCCAATGTAAGTGTTGCTACAAATATGCTCTCGCAAATGTGATAGACTTGAAAAATGAGCTGAGAGCAAGAGATGAATACTATCTAATCATTACACTTTGATGCATGTAAAAAATGCTACATAGCAGTAGGATAGAAAAAATTCTCAATTTACACAATGCCAGTGTAACAGCATACAAATCAAAGTGAAAAAAGTTACCACGAGCAACACTGTAGTTCTTGCAGGAAAGTATGCAACAAACTAACATTGTAATATAAAGAACGACTGTATTTTATTTTTTTAAGCATAGGCTCAATGAGACTACTAGTAATAGGCGCATGCACTAATTACTTTTGTCTTTGTGAGGTTGTAAAAGAGCGGGATTGGCGGCTCAAGCTAAAAGCTAAGCAGAAGAACTTTTTAAAGTGAAGCTTCTACATATTTTGTCATTTCTCGTTATCTCTAAGAGCTTTGCACGAAAATTTTAGACATCTTTGGTTAAAGTTCCCTTCTTCTATGCAATAAGCTCCTAACTCTCGGCAAGGATAGAAACGACAGAATTTTGCGCCGCTACATATTTGTAATTATCAAAAAAGCTTTATCTGCTTTATAGGATTCGCTAAATTCTTGGCTAGTGCATTTAAGTTCCAAAAGAAGATAAGATCGGTCTAACGAGGGTTAAGCTTGGTTTTATTTTTCTTGAGTTTATGCCATGACAACTTGCTGTACAAATAATGACGATATGACGAAAGATATGGTTTGCTTGCTCCTTTCAAAAAATTCATAAAAAGTATTTTTGATTGGGCTGCCTGCCGTATTCGGGTAAAGGCTCACTTTTTGAATATTTTTGAAAACAGCACTAAAACTGCGCTAATATAGAGCTAGCCTTTGAATCCAAAACCATTAGAGTGAAATTTTTGTTATTTGAGTAACAATGAAAATTTTGACTACTTACGTGCAAAGCGTTTGCAAACCAATTCTTCCAGTTCTTGTACTTCTTTATAGTCCAATTTAAAAGATGTTGCTGTTATAAAATATGCACACGGGATTCTTTGACACAAATTTCAAATGTCTGGTTTCACCGTGGCCGCAAAAATAATTTGATGCAAATAATTTTGGCGCGCCTTGCATTTTTTGAGATTTGTTTTATTTTCGTTGTAGCTCGCTCGTCCAATTACACAACGAAACAATGCGTAATAATCGCATATGACGGATTCGCTAGGGAGTTCGTGCCAAAAGATTACACCCGACTTTTCGTACGAGAGCTGAGTAATTTTCCGAGCAAGCATACGCCGTGTAGACAACTGTTGTTCCGGTTCAACACAACGGCCAGACGATGCCAATGGCAGCGTTCTGGGTTTGATCGAGAACACCAATAGATGAGGAGTAACAAAGGGATAGCAATGAATGGTTGTAATGTGGCTGCTATGTTTAGCTGAAAAAAGCTCTAGTACAAAGAATTCCAGAACAGCAAGAAGCCAGAAAAATGGGAGCAAAACGGGCTTCGAAAGAAGAACTTCGAAGAAAATTAAAATGGGATGAAGCTGTGGCACCAGCATGGTAGAATCTAATCTAGAGTGAGCTAAACATAATCTTAAACTTTATGGGATGCCTAGAAGAATAATAAAATTGAATAAAATAAAATATGAACCAATACAAAACAAGGTACAGTAGGCTAAAGTGACAAGCAGACATAGCAAGTTATTTTGTGTGCGGTATAGACCATTTTCACCACCTAATTCCTAGTCTCCATGTTTTTCAAATGCAAGTCCTACTGAACATAAAAGATGAAGAGATGCCAAGAACATGACTAGTTTTTGCATTTGTTGGAGTGAATTTGAAGAAGGGGTTAATGATGCAATCAAAAAAAAAGTTGGGAATGAACAAAACGTGAATTCGCGAATTCCAGAAGGAATTGAACACAGCCGTCAAATCTCGATAAAAGCGCTCTGATTAGGGCTCAAGGAATACGAAGTCCGTTCTAATTTTTTTTTTGAAAATAAACTCAGAATGGTAAATGAAACGCTTTCCTTGTTTAATTCTACATAGCATTCTATAACTATGTATATCTGTAAAAATGGTCAGAATAACGTGATTTTTGGAAAATAAAAAAAACTTTATGACTATTTGTATTATGTTACATGCAAAGAAAAGAATAAGCAGGCCTCAGATTACCTCCGGGCTATCTCAATCTTCTAGAACAAATAGATACTTTTTTCGAAGACAAAGGCCACAAAATTCATAAAACAATTGAAAGAATGGAAATGAAAGGAAGTATTGTAAGCAGAGATGGAATTGTTTATTACGTGCTTGATTGAAAGGGTTGAGTCCCTCTGTGACGAGTACAGAAACGAATTCGTATAGAAAAAAAACTTTGCTTGCGCCAGGATTAAGTAGTGGATTGGATTGATATAGGAAATGCTATTATATGATTGGATCTAGAAAAAAAATGAGAAAAAATTTAGTTTGTTGAACTCGTTTTCCTCGCTCATACCGGAAGATCATGTTGAGGCTTTACTTATTTTTAGCACTTGAACATCGGAATTTTTGCAGGGGAAGTTTTTATCGTAAAGTAAAAGTGCCGTCAAGATGAAACTCGCTTTCGCATGAATACTCGTTAAGATTACCATATGCAAGAAAGAAGGTAATGGAAAGCATTCAAGATTTCTGGAAAAATCGTTGCACTAATTAAAATTGTTTTAAAACGTCGAAGCAGTGAAAATCCCTCAAGTTTCAATTTACAGAAAATTGGCCTGTCCGTTCAAGCGCATTGACATGCCTATTGATGCAAGCCAAGTCCAATAACCAGATGTTTCTGCAGAGTTTTTTGCTTCCTATGCGCTTTCTTTCTTAATTTTATGTGATAGGCTTTGCAGCTTATAGATTACCCGCCATTGTCGGGGAAAAAAACGTGAGATCCAAAATTTGAGAAAAAAGTCAGCATGAACGAACTGTCTGAGTATCACGAGCCTTTTCAAAAAAGCCTTGCTCATCTCGAAATCCGACCAGTACATCGTTTAGACCGTCGTCAAGTATCGATGCTAGTCTGTAGCCAACTTCTGGATCCGGTATCCATATACGGTTCTCGAACAGATGATCCTCCTCTTGGCTTGATTTGGATGGTTCGAGATACCTTAATAGGGGTTTGTTAGTAAAATATGATGATTCGTAGCAGCGTTCATAAGCTATTTCCGAAATGGACAGTTGGTGTTTTTTTCGAAGAGGAGAGCGAAGTTTGTACGGCGCAAAGCCAACTGACCAGATGTGCGAGAAGTAGTTTAAGGCCAGTTTTATTATTTATTAGTCTAATTTACATACTTGGGAGAGGAAGAGGGATCTGAACGTGGCAAAAAATGCAAACTTCGAAAAAAAGCATGAATTTTTAGATTTGAAAGAATTGAAAAGAGCTACTGGTTCCCAGCTTGGGCTAGAACAAGGCAAAAGGCTATGAACTCCATAAAATGTTCGAAATTCTGATTTTTACCTGAGTACGGCGACGTCCATGACGGGAGTCGACGAGGCAACGAATGGATCGTTGGGATTACACACCGAGGCACGTAACGCTTCGGCACCACGCCCAAAATTTGGAAAAATTCGCTTTTGAAACATTTTGCCTTATTTATTACCTTTTCTTAAGAGTTTTTGTTGTAGAGCTGCTCTCAGCTCGAGATGATAGATGTGGAAGACGTTTACGCAACATTGTAGTAGGTTAAAATTTACCTTACCCTACAAAAATGTCTGAATTTATTGGATGATGCAAGAGTAAAAATTCAAATAAGTGAAGAAGTGCGTCAAATGTGAGAGCAAAAATCCTACTATGTGGTCTTACATAGAAAATTTTGGAAAAGATTCATTGGAAATGCTAAGGTAACCGTTTCACCTCATGGTTTTCTTTTGTAGCATAATGCATGTACAGTATTTTATTGAGCATTAATTAGTCCAATAAAATAGTAATCTAAAAGACAAATATCTAAACTCTTTTATGAAACATCCGATCAGCACTGAATTACTTTAATTGGAAGTTAGATCATACCATTTGAAAAATTATAGGCTTTTGGATCCCAACATTTTTAGCGATTAGAATTTGGAAAAAAAGAGGTGTTTGAGTTTTTGCCGCTTTCACATCACATCGTTGCGATATATGTTATAATTTTTGCTTTGAGAACATACAGAATGCTCTATTTTGTAATCAATATTAAACTAAACTCATTGGTTTTTTAAAAAACTTACAGATTTTCAAAATTAAGTTGCAAGTTTCAACCTCACACTTACGTCTAATAAAAACAGCAACAATCAGTTGAAAGCAGACGCACTTTATTCGCTGTATTGTTCAATTATGTAAATACAGACAAAATCACTACAGCAGCAGAACAGCTCGAGTCAGTCAGCACTGAAGTGAAAATGACAAAAGCGCTTCCATCTAGCATTTTATTGCCTATAAGATGTGCATGTGGTTATTTATGACTAAAGAAAATGTAATGCAATATTTCACGCACGTTAAGTTCGTCAGCTTATCGGATCGCCTTTCAAAAAAATTAGCTGAGCATGCTTTAGTCAATAGAAATTCCAATATCTGTGTACAAGTCACAATCCAAAAATTTGTCCCTTTTTCCGGTTGAGGCTGTGCTCGATTTACTTGGTTCTCCTACGACTACGTTTTTATCAAATCAAATCCTTCATATTTTGATTATCTTCAAAGATTGTGGTCCCTTGCATATTCTTTCTTGCGATAAAGGTTTTAAAATACACACATCTCTTGCTTAATTGCTTTCTACTCCCAAACTTTGAACGAGCTAACTAGAGCCTAGAAATCTAAGTCTTGACTCCACGGATTGCTCTTAATTACCAAAATTATTGCAAAGTGTAAATAATGTGTAGGGAGAAGAAGGAGGATATAAGGACGAGTAGGTAAAAAAAATTTACGATTCAGAGTGTTATATTAGCATAAGTCATTTGGAGTGAGCCAGTCACAGAGTTATGTATGTATTTGAAAGTTGATTTTTGATTTTAGGACTGCAAATTTTTCTAGAGCACCACTCAGACTACAATTTTTCCTTTTGTTTCTAGCGCTCCTCTGTCAGTTTTTCTGAGAAAAATCTAAGTGCCAATCGTGCTAAAACATTGATGGAGAGGTGTCTGTGCTGTACATTTTTCGGAGTTTTGAGACAATTTACACAAAAATAACTGAAAGAGCGAAGATGACTCATAAGACTGAGAGTCTGTTTCTTTACTAATATTTGAAAATTTTGTCTTGATTTCTCCCAGTAAAGTGAGGAAAATATTTCAGAAAAAGCTCTATTTTATTTTGTAGTATGGAAATATAGTTTCTTCTCAACAGAAATATTGCCTTAACATAAAATCTATTGATATTGAGTAATGAATGATCTATGCAAAATATAATAGTTGGCTCTCGCTATAAAAGGAGTGATGATTCCAGTTCAAAGTGCTATGGCTTGATAATTCCAATTTTTTTGAAATAATTATTTGAAAAAGAAGTAACGGATGATAGAACACAGATAATGCTGTACAACTGCAGCGCTTACTTGCGTCTGTGCCCTCCCCTATGCGTTCATTTTTTTTGTTTTCTTTTTTAGCTGCTTTTTCACAAGCACCATCCTTTCGATGAAATATCCTAATGATAATTGTAATGATAATAATATTGTATAAGATCTGATTTATGTCTATACTAAGCGGCAATGAATCAGTGCTATAAGCACAGATAATTCTTTTGAATAATTTAAGCTTTACACTATGCCTGCTCACCTCCGCCTTTACTATGAAGATTTTCAGCAGAGATAACCTCACGCAATGCAGCAACTGGTCATCTATCAAAGACTGTTCATTAGCAGACTCAGACTCATTAGACAACAAAAAAATTAGCAGATTTTTACTCTGTCTATTGCTACTGCAAGAGAGGTTTTTCTTAGGTGCATTGGAATCTAATACAGGATTTTGTGAACGAAAATAACGAGAACTTCGAAATTTACAAAGTATTCCTTATGTAGCATTTAATGAAATGCTATGTAGTATAAATGTCGGCTCATAATGAACTGTATTGACTCGATTGTTTATTTGTTGTCAATACTGTATTCATCATGCCGAGATTTATAGAAAGTCGAACTTTCCCTTTTTTAAGACTGTTGTGATCAAGGCAAAGTTCAGTACTAGGTAGAGAAAATAAGCTTTACATGACGGCTAAACAGCTACACAATTCTTAATTCAAGTGCAGTAAGCCAAAATCTGATTATTAGTAAAGGTATCTTTTTCAAAGAAAATTCCTACGACCCTTTAGCTTGTCCGCTCATTCAAGGTTGACACCAGAAACTAGTCTAGATATACATTTGCTGTTTTTGCGTGGATAAAAAATCGAGAGAAGAAAGGCAGCTCGTGCTAAAGCAATTCCAATTCATTGGAAAGGGTACCCCATAATATAATAGAAACTTTGAAAGTAAGTTAGATTTTCAGCATTCCACAAGTGCTGATTTTTGAGATTTATGATTTTAGTATGAAAGCCCAAACGACATTCCTCTATCATTTAAAATAATAGAAAGTATAAAACAGCTTTATAATCATTCAATATTCAGCATCCCCCAGAACTGTTCTCATATGAACCATCAACGTGGCTGTCTTTGGCAAGAGAGTTAAAGAACGATCAAACAGTGTGTACACTTTTTTGGGACACCCTGTATGTGTGTACGATAGTGAACTGGCACATCTACAACACCGCTTGTGACTTGTGAAAAAAAATCACTGCATTCCGCCGGAATCCCCAAACTTCGCGATGCATCGCCATATCTTGGTTGAGAGTGGACGAATTCTGAAGGCAAAAGCACCTTTCAACTCGGCTCGACAAGATGCGTCTTTCATTATCCAGAAGTGTCTGCTAGAACACGATGGCCGTCCAAATATCATAGATGCCTCCAGATTCTTGCTCACGGTAGGTTACTCAGAGTGTTTAACCATCGCACAACCATCAGCCTACCATAAGCAAGAATTTGGAAAGATCCTTGAAATATGACCGATTCTCGCGCCCAAACCGTACTTTTACATTGTCGTGCTGAATTGAATGGTGCTTTTGGATTCAGAATTTTTCTACTCTGAAGCAAGATATGGCATGCAACGCGCAGTGCGATGATTTTTCACAAATTACGAGAGACATTGTATCATAGTAAGGTTATCTCTAAACCATTGACGACGTCGCCTGGTCTTTGGCTGAGCTGTGCATGCGATATCGACATTTTCGGATTGGAGCACTAGAGGCTTACACCGCCTCTGGTAACATATATTTTCTGCGCTTGTATGTCTTTGCATGCTTGCGTAAGGCCTTTTGCTCCCAGTTTGGCCACCGGGGCTCTGGGCACTTGTGAACATCGTCGGTCGGGCAGTCGTCAACAACTGTTCACGAAATTTTAGGAAATAAAGAAGCAAAGAATTTCGTTCAGTTCGAATCATGGCTCGGGGCGAGGTGACTCCAGAAGTCTTTTGGATGCGAAATCTTCGTTGGCTTCGCAACAAAAATAGGATTTCTTCTACGACACATTCTTGAAAGGGCGCTATTCCACGTAAGTTGACCCAAAAAATGAAGATCGTGAATTTCGCTAAAACTTCGTCTAGGGAGGTTATTTGGCACGCTGAACACGAATATGATGTTTATTTCGTGCGACAGCGCCAGCCGGTGGAGTTACGGTAGGATTACGGTAGGGGGTCAAAATCACGGGTTTGCCCGAAACTTGGCCTAAAGGGGTTATTCGGCCCGCTGACGCCGAATATCACATTGGTTTCGTACTGTAATGTCATTTTCTCGACTTACGGTGGGTATACGGTAGGGGGTCAAAATCTCGAAATTCGCTGTAACTTTACACAGAGGGGTTATTCGACATGCTGAATAGAAATGTCACACTTTCTCCGCAAGAAAACGTCTCCCTGCATGGTTACAGTAGGTTTACGGTAGGGGTCAAAATCACAAATCGGCAAATGTATCTTTCCCCTGTGCTTTGCTTAAGCAAAAGCCGCAGCAGAGTGTGTAGCGCGCGGCGGTGGTCATGTGTGCAAAGCTTCACGATCATTCGAAACGCCATACACCCGTTTCGGGATGAACTATGTTATACACCCGTTACCGTGTATCTACCGTAGCCCGAGAAAATGACGCTATGATACAAAACCAATGTGATATACGGCGACAGCGGGCCGAATGACCCCTCTGGGCCAAATTTCGGGCAAATCCGTGATTTTGACCCCCTACCGTAATCCTACCGTAACTCCACCGGATGGCGCTGTCTCACGAAATAAACACCATATTCGTGTTCAGCGTACTAAATAACCCCCCTAGACGAAGTTTTAGCGAGATTCACGGCTTTCATTTTTTGGGTCAACTTATGTGGAATAGTACCCTTGAAAGTGTGTCATAGAGGAAGCCCGTAAGTAACAAAGGAACAGAACAAAATACAAAAACAGCTAAGACGGCGATAAAAAAGTACTCTAACTTTACAAGTACAATGTGCAGTTTTCTTCTAAAATCACCCAGCCTAAACAAAGTGAAGGATCTCGCAACTAAAGGACCTTGTACGTATTGCCTGCGAGTATCGTGTATATAAGCATCGTTTTTCGAA